CGCGGCGCCATCGAGGAGGTGGGGCCGGGCGGAGCGGCGCCTGCGGCGGCGCGGTGCGGGGGCCCGAGGGTTGCGGTGCGGTGGTGGCGCAGAGAAAAGCGGTGCGGAGATAGCGAAATAGAACGTGCAGAAACGTTTTCAGAATTGGTTACTTCATTGCCCGCATATAAAAACAGAGCTAGCAAGTGTGAAGGAAGAACATGCATGTGTGCTTGCGTGTTAATTGCATAAATGCCAGTGCAAAAGTTTGATCAAAGTTTTTGACCTGTTTTTTGCACTTTTAGTGCTTTCCAGAAAGGAGAAGTTAAGTAAACATGAATAAAACAATTAGTGCATGAACTTTAATTCTTAGCTTCCAACAAGAACGGTATTTTTAGCAAACTGGATAACATCATATGCTTTAACACCACGAGAGCCTGAAGTTGTTAGTTTGTTCAACTTCCGTTACTGTTTTCGATCTATTCAACTATGCCCAAATGTACTTAAATACACATTCCTTTATTTTTAGGAAGTGCAAAAGCATTCTGTGCACACGCTTGTGTTCAGATCATTGAAGAGAACCCATGACATGTTTGTAGCTGATAATGCCAAGCCTATACCGCTAGATGAAGAAAGGTATGTGTTGCAATCGGTGAATTACTGGTATATTTAAATGTTTTGTGTTATGTTAGGGATTGCTCTAGCCAAGTCACAAATTAAGCCGTTTTTGTAGAATTGCAATATGGGGTTAAGGGAAGAAAAATTTGAGGATTGTAGAGTAAGTAGCAAAATACTTCAAAATTTAATAACAACCCAAAACGAGGCTTGAATATGCTCTGCTCTTCCACCAGTCACAAAGTAAAGATGTCAGTCAAGCTGCGTACGGAGTACGGCTCGGTGTTGCATATGCCCACCCTGAAAGAAAACTTGAGGGAGAAAGGAGGCCCAAACACTGAGGATCCCTATGGACATAAAGAGTATTCTGGAAATCAAGGTCAGTTTCCTTTTACTGTGTGTTTGGTTTTGTATGAGACAGTCTCAACTGAGGTTAAGTCTCAAGACTATAATGTTAGTTTATCATGGATGTAAAAGGAAATCTTAATAGCTGTTTTCCGTTGGTCTTCGGCTTCTGGCAAGAGAGATGATATTAGTAATTTAGAACAAGGAAAAAGTTTGTTAGAACTCAGGGAATTATGTGATACTGTGTAATTTTTGTGCTTCAGTAATGGAAATAATAAGATGAGCAATGTATTTCTTTTTACAAGTTGATGATGATTAAGGATATGCTTTTTTGTTTAGGTGTTGCATATTTTTTCAGACTTTTTTTAATGCAGGTATTAAAGTAGAAAAATCTCTTCATTTTAATTTTTTTTTCTTTTGCTAATTATATATAAAATGTGAAACTATTAGGTAGATAATATGTAGAAACTTCTCTTAAAAGGAATACCAAATGCCTTCTTATTTTAGTAGAGATCTACTAAAATAGAGCTACCTACTTCAAAAAGGCGATTTTGGCAACATGAAGATTTTTCTCTTGAGAACGTAGCAGGCAGTGACATCGCCATTTAAAAAATGGTATTTTACTAATCAGTTCTAGAAAGCTGCGATAACCAAAACTTCACATCAATTTCAAGTAAGCGTAGTATATTATATAGGGTTAGTGCTACATATGGCTTGCTCTAATTTTCTTCAAGTTCCTGCTTTACCGTATTATTTGCAATGTAGTGTAAACTATAATTATTGTTTGTTATTAAGAAATTCTATTGCTCTTTAGGACAAGAACTTGATTATATGATAACTGGTACACATCCATACCCACCTGGGCCTGGTAAGTAAGTTTTATAGTTGTTTTGGTTTGATTTGGTTTTGTTTTGTTTTTTTTTTTTTCTGTTCCTGGGCATCATTCACTTCCTAGGAAGCTTCCTGTTACTGTGAATCCATAGGTGATAGTAATGAGATCTGCCATTTGCCTCTTTCATAGTATTGATGTAGAGAGTTTTGTGGCTCATAAATGTTTCAGATTAGGAGGTGCCAGGAGGATTTAGGTGCAGGTGGTGCAGCTTTCTTCTCACTATGACTCAGTAGATGTGTCCTTGCAGTGGGCCTGTCATTTGTCTTAGGGGACAGCTAGAAGGAAGTGAAACACATAAGGAGAAATGTGCTGTGTGTTTTATCACTAGAGCAAAAAGATGTGGTATCGCCACCTTTGCTCTAGAAAGGGTTGTTAGTGTCAAATAATTCTGTTGTCATTTGGTTTAGTGCAAGTCTGGAAGTGTTATGTTTCTGTTATTATATTGACCCTTGCTTGTTGTTATGTTAGTTGATTGTTCCTACTCTCTCTTTGTGACGGTTTCATTTTGATTGTTGAACTTTTACTGCTAACAGTTAAGTTTATTGTAAGTGGTATGGGAAATGTTCTCTGGCTTGATGTGAGTTACAGCAGACCCTCGGTCCTTAAAAGTAACCTATTTGCCTATGGCTGTGGGGACAAGACTGAGTCACACAAGTTTCCACAAGTTCAGTGCTCTTTTAATAGAGCCAGGTATGTCAAGATTAAAACTAGGTTTCTTTGCTGTTGTTTTACATTGACAACCTACCCAAATATTTTCTTGGTTGCCAATTGCCAGAGATTTGGTCTGGAAAGGAAATAGATAAATTGGCATGAAATGTAATCACCAGTTTGTCCCAAACTAAGGTTGCGAGGGAGAAGTGATCTCCTGTTCTTAGACCAAGAATATAAATTATCAATTATACTCTGAAATTCTGACTTAAATAGTACTAGATTTTCTGTAGTTCCTGCCCCGCCCCATGGGGCACAGAGGAACTCCATAAAAATAAACTGCACTAAAGGGCATACTTAGCAAAATTGTTTCTGTCTCATCTCTATACTGTCACTGAATAGCGAGATTTAATATTAGAGGTATGGTAAACACTTTTACACAGGTGTATGTGTAAACATGCGTTTATTCATATAATATTTTCTTTTTAATAGATTTGTCTTTGCTTTTGCCCTACTTTCTTTTAAGGTGTGGCACTGACAGCAGATACTAAGATCCAGAGGATGCCTAGTGAATCTGCAGCCCAGGCATTAGCTGTAGCACTTCCTCCATCTCAGGCCAGGTACTACTGGGTTACTTTGTTAATGCTTCTGTAGTTTAGAGGCATTTCAAGGAAAAAATGCGGAAGCTGGAATAATTTTTTTTTTCCTCAGCTGTATCTGGAATATTGTATTTCTCTACATTGTTTTAAAAAAAGATTTTAGCATGGGTGGACGTTGTTTTTCTTTACACTGTTTGTTATTGGATGTTGAGGGAGGCAATGGAAAAATCCAATTAGATGCAAGGGCAAACAACTTATTTTGGTTATGTGTTTCCATGCTTTGTACCTTTTCATTTACTTTGTGAAAGGAGAAAGTTGATTCTACTAAGTTAGCCTTTTTCACTGCACCTAGGTTGGAAGCGAATCGCACCGCGGCTGGTGTGGGTGACATCTACAGGCATGCTGGTGCGGGTGAGCGCTCACAGCCTCCTGGCGTGGCCATGGTGAGTTAGTCATGGATGAGGCTTCTACTGTCAAAGCAGGCAGTGTTCACCAGGTGCTTCCAGATTGACTCGAGTTCTGGCTGAATAAGTGTAATCAGTTTTGAGATGTCACAACAAGGAGGCTTTAGGCTTTATATGAAGAGTTAGGTTAAAGCAGAGTAACCTTCCTTTTAATTTATAGGCTGTGATGGAAGCAGGTGGAAACAAAAATTCGGCGCTAATGGCAAAGAAAGCTCCAACCATGCCCAAGCCTCAGTGGCATCCACCTTGGAAACTGTACAGAGTAAGTTACGAACTTAAGATCACGCACACAAAAATAAACAAATGTTTTATGTACTATAAAGACTGCAGAGCTTAAGATTTATTTTTCTCATTCATGAAATGGAACAAGATGAAATCTAATGAACTTTACTGTGAGGATGACAGAGCACTGGAACAAGCTGCCCAGAGAGGTTGTGGAGTCTCCTTTGGAGATCTTAAAACCTGCCTGGACATGACTCTGTGCCACGTGCTGTAGGTGTCCCTGCGGGAGCAGGGGGGTTGGGCTAAATCTTCAGAGGTCCTTTCCAACTTTAAGCATTCTGTGATTCTAATGAAAAGTGTCATGCCTAAGTTCCATGCATGCCCTTTCCTTTAATAATAAGATTAGATTGGAACCATTTTTCATTCTGTGAATCTTGTTAATTTTACAATTTTGTGTATGTAGGTTTATCTGTAGTGTGATAAAGTCTTTAAAAAGTATACCTTTTCCAGTCAGTAGCTAGTGTTTATGTAGTGCTTATTATGGCATAAGCACTGTGCAGCAGTGTGAAGAAGTTGCATTTAAATACATACAGTCTTTGTGAAGTCTCAAGTGCTGAGCCACAGTATTATGGACTCAAAGGATTTGAGACAATGACTTAGTGGTGCAGGGTTTAAACCCCATTACAAGTTCTGTAGGTCAGTTTTATGACATATTAAATGAAGAGAGACAGCCAGAAATTTATCAAAGTAGAACTAAAACTGAAAATCACACTCTTGACAGATCTGACTTTCCAGGAAAAGTATGCATGTCTTAAGTTTCAGTGTTGGAGAAGGAAAATTATATTGACAGATATGTTTATTTCTGATTTTTCCAAATGTCTTATTTGTCTAAAGGTTATCAGTGGTCATCTGGGCTGGGTGAGGTGCATTGCAGTAGAACCAGGAAATCAATGGTTTGTTACTGGCTCAGCTGACAGAACTATAAAGGTAAGGGGTTGCAAGAAACTACTGACAAATCAAATTGCCTTGCTCATGCTATTTAGAAATATTTTCAGCCCTTGGAAACAATTTCTTGGTTAGTATGTACAGAATAGTCAGATAAAGAGTGTATGTTCCCCCTTCTCTCCTCTTGTTACCTAGTCACAAATACAAGATGATTTGTTGCAGTATTATTTCTTTTTGAGATCTTATTCATAATATGGTGGTAGCTAGCAGACATTTATTTCACAGAGTCTAAGAATTACTAATTTCAATTAGTTACCGTTACTTTTTTATGTAGGATATTTTTCCAGGCTACCCCTGTGTAGCTTTATATTCATCTGTCTCAAAATATTTTGATGCAGATTTGGGACCTTGCTAGTGGCAAATTAAAATTGTCTTTGACGGGACACATCAGTACTGTGCGAGGGGTGATAGTAAGTGCAAGAAGTCCATACCTATTTTCATGTGGAGAAGACAAACAAGTGAAATGCTGGGATCTTGAATACAATAAGGTGAGCTTTGGTTTCTTCAATCAAAGTTAATTGATAGGGGTAAATGTACAAATCAAAACACTTAAATTATTTAAGTATCCAGTTAAACTTTTTTTTTTTCTCTCTGTCTAGGTTATCAGACATTATCATGGTCACCTAAGTGCTGTCTATGGTTTGGACTTGCATCCAACAATAGATGTCCTGGTGACATGTAGCAGAGATTCAACAGCACGAGTAAGTAGAACTTTGTTTTAGCACCTTCATTTATGGAAGGAAGTAGTTAGCAAAAATTAAATATGTATCAAAGATTAAAATATGAAGATGAATTTGTTAACTCTGTCTTCCACTTAGATAAAAAAAAAAATAAGCATTTTATTGTATCCCCAATATTGGCAAATGCAGTGTAATTTCAAGTGAATGTTTTACTTAATTGGGTAGGCTATGTTATATGTAATCACTTAATTTCTTATTTTTAGAAGATGGTAATGCTTTATGTTGACTTATTTGGCAATGAGCTATTTATGTATCATAAACATTGAGTACCAGGCTCTCTACTCCCTTTGGAATTTGCCAGTCAGGGCAATTCTGTGGTGATAAAAGCCTGACTAAATACTATGGTTTTGCCTGTAGAATTATGGCAAGAATTTCTTACAGTCATTAACAATACCTAAAATACATTGAATATGCACCTTTTCTTGATCTCTGTAATTTACTGTGGTTTCATAGATATGGGATGTGAGGACAAAAGCCAGTGTGCACACGCTATCAGGGCACACAAATGCAGTTGCAACAGTGAAGTGTCAAGCTGCAGAACCACAGATTATTACAGGTAGTGTAGACTGGTTGCTTTTCAATCATGTAATCTCTACAGCAATAATATCTGTTCCGTAATCATGTGATGAAGATAATGTCATCATCTGTTAATTTATTCATTTATTTCTCTTATTTTTCTGTTAAGTGGGCTATATAATGTTTTTTTATACTATTAATAGTACGCTTAAGCAAATATACTTGCACATTGCTTAAAAATAAATTGTTTTTCTGTTTCCTGCATTTGAAGTTTAAATTTTTGTTGTAATGCGATTAGGTCCTAGTATTCTGTGTAAAAATAAGTCTTTTGTAATGGTTCATCATCCAGTTAAGTGTCTAGTTCCATAGTTAAATATGAGCTATTTATTTCTCACTGTGTCGAAATCCTGTTTTGTTTTGTAGCTACTTAAGTATTCTTGAATTTCAAATTGCATAAAATATTCTTCATATTTTCTGAACATTTTCGGTAGAGTTGAAGACTATTAGCACATTTTATTTCTGAAGCTGTATTAATAGTAAAGAGCTCAAGGCTCACTTAGGATGTGTTTTCGTCTTTTTTGTGTGTGTGTGTAGTTAAGGTAGAATAATGTTGTCTGTAACATGATCAAGTTTGGCTATCTTATGAAAGCAAAAGGATTAGTCCTACTACCTTTTTTTTTTTTTGTCGCTTCTATTGCAGGCAGTCATGATACTACAATAAGGCTCTGGGATTTGGTGGCAGGAAAAACTCGTGTTACTTTAACAAACCACAAGAAATCTGTAAGAGCAGTTGTACTACATCCAAGACAGTAAGTTTTCTTCTTTTTCCTTTCGCTTTCATGCTTTCAGTGACAAAGTCAATATCGATGATGAATTTAAATGACATGAATGACTAATGAAAGAAGATCTTAGAATGCTTTGAAATGTACATACTAGTAAAATATTTGTTCGACAAAACCTTTAGTACACTGATTCCGTTCTCCAAAAATTGGTGCTGGTGTACGTTTTAAATTGCCAGAATTTCTTATTCTTACTTCACAGAACTTTTTACAGATGCTTTGATGAGGTCTCAAGAGATAGTGACCCTGGGTTTCCTGGCGCTAAAAATAATTATGTAATTGAATGTTTGTTAGCAGAAAGTGAGGAAAAAAGGAAACTAAAATTGCCTGTGTGTGAATAGTGTGAATAATGCTAAAGGAAACAGCAACTACTGCAAGGGATTTTTTTTTAATCTGTGTTTCACTGCACAAGATACTTCTATATAACTGGTCTTGCAGAAAGACTTCTATATGTAATTAAACTTTAAAGCAGGTGATGGAGATGTTCTGACTTAAGATGCTATACTTCGTTGCATCAACGATTATATGGTCTGATAAATCCCTATATAAGCAGTGGGTAAAAAAAATACAGGATTTATTATTTAGGCAGCAAATTGCTTGAGACATAGTGGCAGTTGACAATATGGCTAAAGGCTTTTGTATATGCTGCTAAAATAACATGTTAACGTGTATGTTAAAACGATGAAATACATTTTTCTCCTTTTCTCTCTGATATCTGATGGTACCCTTATAATTGAAAACTTAACAGAATAAATTTAAAGGGTATTTTTAATGTTTGTTTACATATTGTCATCATTACGTGGCGCAGGAGAGATTTGTGATTTATGAGATTTAGATAATTTATAGAATTCAAAGGAAAGAGATTTTTTTAATTACTCTTCTCATTTATGATCTTATAAAATCACTTTGCACTCAAAATAGTTTTCAGCAGAACAGATTTAATGCTAAGTAACTTTGCAACTAGTTCTCAGTAGTTTTAATGAAAGACTTCTAATGAAGGGCTCTTCTTACTTCGGCATTGGTTTATCCTTATTATAAATTCTGATTTAATGTCCTAATCTTCTTTCAGTTACACATTTGCGTCTGGTTCTCCAGATAATATTAAACAATGGAAATTCCCTGATGGAAACTTCATTCAGAATCTCTCTGGTCACAATGCTATTATCAACACACTAGCTGTAAATTCAGATGGAGTTTTGGTCTCAGGAGGTAAAATGAGAAATATTTCCTGATATTTTCTTTCTTTTCCTGTGCCTGGAGTGCCTTATACAAAGATGCTAATGGGGTGTCACGGAACAAGCTTCATTTCATAGGGAGAGGGTAACTTCATATTCTTTGGTGTTAACGGAATTACATGCCCCTATATTCATTTGAAAGTAGTTTTAACCCACAGAAGAGATTTCCCTTTTTTGTGTGTTCTTTTCCCATATCAGAAGATTGCTTTTCTATTTCTTCTGTGTGTGTGTTTTATTTTAAGAAAGTTGCTATCCAAACAGTATCTTACATCCTTATTTTGTCTACAACTTCAAAAAAGCTGACACAGAGTTAAAATAATTTGAGGTTGCCTTAGAGTCACTTACCTTAGAAGCATATTGTCTGAAACAGCTGCAATTCCTGTCTAGTTGGCATCAGCAGGGTAATAAAAGTTTGAATAAGTCTGATTCAGTTAGGTCTTTAAAAAAAAAAATGCTGTATGTGCATCCTTCAGAAACAGGGAGCTCAGATGTTCATGGGTACCCTTAAGCTGAATCTACTAGCAGTAATGATGACAGTACTTTAAGCTACTTGAATTACATGGAATGTTGTGGAGGTTCTTTGTCTCTTTGACAAATTCAGGAGTGAAGGTTTGTGATCCGTTTAACAGGATGGTATTGCTTTGGTCAATTTTTGTAGAGGTTCCCTACTAAATAGGGAACTGAATCAGAGTTCCAGTCCTTATCTCTGCTTCCAAACTAACTTGCTGCAATTGCCTTGTGTTTTAGTGTGCCAGTTCTCTGGGTTATCTGATGCAAAGTTGGATGTGCTTCTGAGGAAGCTTCTATCAGCCACCTTAAATCAATGACCTACCTTCCCTTTAGAAGGAAAGAAGCAGAAAACAGTAAACTACTATGCGATGTGCTGAGTTATGCCACGTGAACATTACAGTTAATGTGTTCCTTACTAAAAAGTTGTTCATGACACTGTTTTGAGAAAAACAAGAAAAAATAACTGGTTAAAATTATAACTTTTTTTTTTATCCCTTCTTTTTCTTTTTCTCAGCTGATAATGGTACTATGCATCTTTGGGACTGGAGAACTGGATATAATTTTCAGAGAGTACACGCAGCTGTACAGCCAGGTTCCTTGGATAGTGAATCAGGAATATTTGCTTGCATTTTTGACCAGTCAGAAAGCAGATTGCTAACTGCCGAAGCTGATAAAACCATAAAAGTGTACAGAGAAGACGAAACTGCGGTATGTTGAAGTGACTTTTTAAATGTATTTTCATGAAATCAGTGGATTTGAAAGAGCTGATGTGTAGCCATGGGAGTCATGCATGTGGATTTGTTCAATTAGTCTTGACATTAATGATTGAAAAGAGTGTGTAATTACAAAAAAAGAACAGCAGCAGCTAGTCTGTGAATTCCTGATTTATCGCTCTGCAAAAGCCTTTGTGATGCACTTTGGAGACATCTCATTACAAAAAAAATATATACTTAATTTTGAAGCCAGTAGGGAACTGCATTTATAAAACTAAAAGATAGATATTAGACAATTTAAAATTAAAAGACTTACTGAGTTTTTCTCTATGATCTGGATTAAAAATTGAAGGTAGATAATTAAAATTCAGAGTAAACAGCCCAATTCCAAAATAATGTGCTAAATTCTGAATCAGTGGTAGGTTACAGTATAGTTTCTGTTGTCCTCAATACAGTAAGTCTTTGATATAAAGAGTATAAGCATTTGTATTAATTCATTATAATTTAACTTATTATTTTAATGTTATATATGAAAAAGATTGTATAATCTATATTGGTAATATTTTAAAATGAGTCTCAGTTGCAGATGAGGATATTTTTAACTTGAAACTTAAAAAATTTTTCTTTTTTCCATTCAGACTGAAGAAACTCATCCTGTCAGCTGGAAACCGGAAATTATCAAGAGAAAACGATTTTAATATGGCTACATCTGTACACTATAAGTCTGTTTTGGCTTTCCTGAAAGTACTCAGTCATGTTATATTCTGCCTAGAACAGCAGAGCAGGAACTCAGCTAAAGTCGTTGCTTTTCCAACATGTTTTATAATAAATTTTATTTCACTTTGTTTTTGTCTTTTCTGGTATGATCCCAGCACAGAAATAGCAGCTCTTAACTCTTTCACCTTTTAAGACCATGTATAGTTCATGAAAAGGATGGGTGGTTACTTGACTATATGTGCAAGTGGTTATTAGATTTTTATATACATACTGAGTGTAAGTCTAAAAATACTGCATTAAGCCAGGTTTTGTGGAAAACCTTTTCCTGATTGCAAAAGTGAATTGTAGATTCATGCACAGACACAATCTAATGGTGTTTTTTCAAGTAATATTTCTAAATTGTAGGCTGCTATTCTGTATTTATCTGCTAAGCATCTGCTGTAATGGAACAGTATGTATACTAAATTGTGGAATAATAGAATAATCAAGGAAGAGGCAGAACTATGTAATAATAATGTAGTTTGCTTAGTAAAGATACTCACTGAGAATTGGTGGAGTTCTGTTATTGAATTTTTGACTTTCAAATATTGAAATACTTTCAAAGTGCATCTCCATAGAAATGTTTTCCTAAGCAATTCCTCCTCTTTGCTGGTTTCATTTCAGAGTGGACCTTCGACAGCAAAGGCCACTGTCAAATCTTATGGTTTACAGTAAGCGCCAGGTTGGGACCATTCGGCTTTACCTTTCTAAGTCATCTGTCTTTTGTTTATATTCTGGCATTATAGGATTATAGGAAACTTCTAAAGCTGCTTTAAAAGCTCTTAAGACATTCCACTCTTAATTGTATTTGTGGCTGCTTCCCCACTACCATATTAAGGATTTTAAAAATGTTAAAGACAGTATTTCTGAGGGGCAAAAATTTTGTTTGCAAAACAGTCATATAACAGGTATCAAACACCTAAGCCTCCTTGCTGCAGCCTGTCTGTGATGTGCTGTGCTGAGGCCCCTTCTTTTGGGTGGAGGAGAAAGCAGGAGTCATTCAGCCATTCAGTTGTTGACAGCATTGCTAGCATTGCTAAGAGCTGCAGAGGCGAGTTTCATGCTGGGTAAATTGTTCTGTGGACACTGGGTTGATAGTAACCATATCTACTTTTTGCTAATCTGACACCTCTTTCCAAATTTGTGAATTATGTTACAGAAATTGCGTAGTTTGCTGAAAGTGCCTGGAATGCCCCATTTTGGATCCTTGCAGTGTAATTTACCGAGAGCTTGTGCAACTAAGTGTTGATAATATTATAAGGTTATTAGTCCTATTATTTTTGTTATGATGCACAGGAATGCTCTTGTAAAAATACTTTAAATACTATAATTAAAATTTAAATGTTTGATGATATGTTTTTAAAACAGCCCATGGTGCATAAGTAACTGAATTTTGTGTGACAGCTATTGACTAAAACATCTCCACAAAATGCATTTACATACACTGACTTGTTTCTTGCTGTTCTCTAGTATATGTTAAGTTCAGATTACTATATTTCAGAACAAAAAGTAAAGAAAATGGGACTGGTGATATTTTTAGAATTTTGAAAAGTATAAAAGCCCCCCAAAAAACTTGAAATTGTGGAAGAAGTGCTTTCTCTAAATGGGTACTTTCAACTACAGTAGTTTAATTTTGCTTTTAAAAAATCCCCTAAATGTTTTCAAGCCTGTTTTTGTTTTGTTTTTCTGTTTGATATTTAGAAGTGTTGTTGCAGTGGGGAGGAGAAGGCAGGCAGACTAGAGTGCTGTGCATGCATTCCCCTTTATCCTGCTTCTGGCTACCTACCTTGCTTGCAGTCCGTACAATGCCAGTTTTCGTGCCATCTCAGAGCATGGAAAAAAGTATGCAGGTTTTGATGGATTCAATCCTTCTTATTCAGTTGATATGCTAAATCTTTTGGTCTTTTTTACAACCGTTTGCATTTGAACTAATGGGGAAAAATATAGTTTGTACCTATGCATTTTAGTTTTTATGCTTTTGTTCTGACTGTTAAATGTATCATTTCAGAAATCCATGAACTATTTGGTGTTTTGCAGAATTTTGTGGCTCACTGAAGTCCTCTAAAGGAAACCATATTTATTGCTTGATAAAAAAGATATGTTTATTTTTTAGGTGAGGGTGTTAGGGTGGCTTTTTTTTTTTTTTTTTTTTTTCTTTATTTCTTTTGACAATTTGGAATCTGGAAGAGGACGTTAAAAGGTTTTGGCTCAGTTACTGCACTGTTTATCCTATTGAAGATGCTGAGGAAGTCTCTTGCAGAGCCTGCATTTCAGTGCTGGGGTTGTGCAGGAAGATAGTAGCACAGTAACAGTGGTGGGATTTGGCATTCTTTGTGGTGCCTGGGATACAGATTTGGTTTGCAGATTAAAGGCTCTGTTACTGTTGTTTGGGATTGCAGTTTTTGACTGCGATATGCTCTTCCAATTTTAAATTTATTATATTCTTTAACAGTTGATTTGCATGTCCATTTTCTTACCAGCAGCTTTTTATTCCACTCCAAAGTCTTAGTAATGTGAATTTCATTACACATACTTCTGTATACTTAGACACATCAAGATTAACATATAAGTGCTTCTCTAGTGCAAAGTAAGCCTAGGTAGTGAGATGTTAGACATGTCTGATCCATATAGATGTATGGTGAGATTAGACTTGTCCGTGTAAGTCATAATACGAAGCAGAACAGGATGATCTGGTTTACTGTTTATATTTTCCATGCTTCTGGAAAAAGTCTTGCTGCAGTATCAGTTACCTTAGCTTTGAATTGGAATCTAATCCAAGAACAGAATTATTGTCATTTATTTAACATCAAAATTTATTATCTCCTGTATATGACCAGATCATACCCATTTCTACCACAAACCTTAGGTTTTGTTTTATACTGTACAAAACTACAGAGAGGAAGGAAAATGTTTTTTTTTTAATTGAAACATACTTCAAAATGTGTAACTGGTGAAGACAAATTTTTGGATCACTTTTTGTTGTATAAAAGAGCATCTAATGTAAGCAATGCAGCTAGAATGCTGTCATTTACTGGCAGCATAAGTTGTGCAGAATAGTATGTATTTGGCATATTGAAAGCTTGCAGAAATGCATCTTAAATAGCAGAGTATTTTTGGTCCTGTTAAATAAGAATTAGTGCTATGCGTGATCTAAGCAACAGCTATTTAGCCCTCAATAAAACCTGAAATGCAATGTCATCTCATGTCATTTTCTTTTCACTGCAGATTTTGTAGTAAGGAGTATAAAGAACAATTAAATGTTTATTGGCAGTTAAAGTAAGATTAAAAATGACTTCTCTCCATAGTACAGTAAAGAATATTGTTGCAAATCAGCTGTAATTTTGTCACGGAACGAGTGGTGGTGGGAGTGAGTGACACAATGCACTTCACTCGTGGGAAAGAAATAGGAATAGGTTTTATTGGTAATGACAATGGTTTCATGAGATTCTATGGCAAGGTCACTTGTTAGTTACTGCATGGAGATTCAAGATATACACAGGATTACCAAGGACACCCTCCCGTTGGGTCATGAGGTTCAGATTGGACCCCCTCGCTTTCCAAACTCCTTCTGAGAGGAGTCTGGGTGCAGCTGGATCCAGTCCTAGTCCCAGACCTGGTCAACAGTTTAAGGGATTTGTGCACAATTACAAGGTAAAGTTTACAAGTTCAAAAAGGAAAGGGTGCGCTATAGTCACTTACCACACATCTGTAGTGGGAAGGATCTCTTGACCTCGACGAGTATCCCTGAGAGGCGTCCCTGCTCAACAGGAGATCCTGGTGTGCAGCTCGCTGCCATGGAAGGAGAGCTCAATAGGCTCTTGGGCTGTCCCCATATTTATGGGATAAGATGATTGACCGATAGTCATTCTTTCAATTCAGAAATTACTGTTGGCTGGTGTAATCACAGTTAGCCTTATCTCCCCATTAGGATAATGGCCATCAGGACTGTTATTGATGGTTAATGTCTGGGTGGGGGAAGAAATCAGTGAGGCAAACTGCCAGGATCAGATAATGTGGTCTTTAACACCTGAATAGACTACTTAGGAGAAGTCAGGTTGAGCTGGGGAAGGAGCATATCTGTCACAATGGAGAGGTAAAGAACTGATACCTCTTTCATGAAAGATGAATGTGGATGTCATCTATCTTGCCTTCACCAAGGCTTTTGACACCGTCCCTCACAACATCCTCCTGGGCAAGCTCTGGAAGTGTGGGATAGATGAGTGGACAGTGAGGTGGGTTAGGAACTGGCTGGATGGCAGAGCTCAGAGGGTGGTGATCAGCGGTGCAGAGTCTAGTTGGAGGCCTGTAGCTAGCAGTGTCCCTCAGGGGTCAGTCCTTGGTCCAGTCCTGTTCAATTTATTCATCAATTACCTGGATGAAGGCACAGAGTGCTCCCTCAGCAAGTTTGCTGATGATACCAAACTGGGAGGAGTAGCTGATACCCCTGAGGGCTGCACTGCCATCCAGAGGAACCTGGACAGACTGGACAACTGGGCAGTGAAAAACCTCATGAAATTCAACAAGGCCAAGTGCAAGGTTCTGCACCTGGGGAGGAATAACCCCAGACAACAGTACAGGCTGGGGACTGACCTTCTGGAGAGCAGCTCTGTGGAGAAAGACCTGGGTGTCATGGTGGATGATAAGTTGACCATGAGGCAGCAGTGTGCCCTTGTGGCCAAGAAGGCCAATGGGATCCTGGGATGC